ACTAACTTTTTTTGTTTGTTTGTTTTTGGTGATTTGTTTTCAAGCCATAAGCAAACTCTCCCTTTGCAAGGGTGTGGCAGGACATGGAAGCTGTCCCAGATTGACGGTCCCAGTCAGTTCAAAGTTTCCTATGATACTCAAATCACTCCTTCACACAGAATGTTAAATTATCCCAGGCAATTTTTGGTGCACGAATCCACACCACATCTCAAATAACTAAGATTTTTTTTAAACCAGTAACCACAGGTTGCCCACCTCCTTTGTCATTAACACTGTCCTTTTCCCAGCCTCTTTTTAATTTTTTTGGCAAATGACATTGTGCTGGATTACTGTAACAACCTGTGAAACTGCAATGGTTATTTAACATAGTGCTATACTAGAAAAGCATAATAAAAAACATTCAGAGGAGAGACATGAGGCAATCACTTGAGGGGGATGTTCCAACTGTAGTGGCATATCATTCAGCATGATGCAGTATGACATTAAAACAGGACATTCCCCTCAAGTGAGTGCTTCTTGTTTCTCCCTTGAACAATTTTTTTAAATTATGGTTTTCCAGTTTAGTGCTATGTCAGATAAATACTGCAGTTTCATAGGTTGTTATATCAGTTCAGCACTATGCCATTTGCCAATGTTTTTGTTTTAAAAAAGACAGCCTACTGCCAATATCATCCTAGGACACATCTACTAATGCCCCTTTGGAATGATGTTGATGATTATACATGTCAGAAACAAAACAAACAAACAAAAAGCAAAAGGTGATGCCAGTGGAATCACTGCCAATCCTCCGTCCCCGCCCCTGCCCCGGGCTTTTTAACAAAAATCAATTAATATTGCTGAAAAAAGACCAGGCTAGCTCACAATTAGTTGTACGGTATCTAGTGATTGGGAAATATGTCGAATTTAACTGTGCCAATTCTATCACAAACTGCGGGATAAATTGCAGTGTAGTTGAAGCTCAACTCTGATTTCTCAGACAAAAAAGAGGCTTTAGTCACGTCTCTTGAACATTAGTGTGATTTTTATTCCCCTGATTTTTATTCTGTAATGCATTGGTTGGGCTTGACCATGACAAGTGTGATGTCATCTATCAGCATAGGTTTGTGAGGTCTCTATATCAGCTCATTTGCCTTATTACATCATTTTTCTTCTACTTCCACACAGATAAATTAAAGTTCCTACATAAGATGAAAAGGACATAAATGAATATGTCATGTCTCATTCATCTTTTTGGGGGACTGAAATATCTGTGCTTCCCAGTTTTCACTGGCAATTCTTTCTCAGTGACATTCAAATGGAGTTTGGTCATATAATTATTTTTCTTTTTAGAGAATACTTTATCGTGAATGGCTACATTATCTATCATGTCAGGTAAAATGGAGGAAACAATAACCAAAATAGAAAAGGAAACCCAAGAGTCAAAAACTCTACCCATCAATCATCTTATTTATCCACAGAAACATAGTAAAAGAGGAACTTCCTCCTTCTTTACCCTATGATAGGGCCTGATCACACCAGCCAAATGTTATATCCCAGTTAAATCATTTCATAAATTTCCAGTCACATGATGCACAACCATGATCAAATAAGTTCCCCGGCCAGTGCTGTAACTGTGGTTTATTTCCCTGTCGCCCAGAGGGCTGTTTTATTTTGTACTGATGACATCTTGATTCATTCTGTACTAGTCTTGAATGTGTGCATGCTCCTATCAATTTATTTCCTTTGCAAAGGGCTCAGGTTTCTGGACCCTATGGGGAGGGGGAACCAGATTAGGTGCTGTTCCACCTCTTACTGATTGCCCCTCCTTGCCTGTTTTCCAGGTAGGATGGGGTGGATGAGGTATGGAGATCATCAGTTGGGGAAGGGGGCATCTCATCCATGTCCTTTCAGAGGGTGCAAGCCAGAGAGGAAAAAGTCACAGTCTGAAGCTTTTCCTGCCTCCCCATCTGCCCTCTCCTTAGATCTCTCGTCACAACCTCCAGTCTCTTGTCTGCAATCTGTTCTCAACAGGCTTATGCAGGGTGTGCGGGGGAATTTGCTTCCAAATGTTATGCCATTTGACTATCTATGCAAGTGGATTATGGTTGTAATGTCCTTTTCAAAGAACAAATTCAACATGTATTTGTCATAGTAGAAATTTTTGAAGGCTAGACAGTTTGCTGTTAAGGTTCAATTAAAAAAAATTATAGTACTATAATAGTTTATAGTTCTAAATACAGTATTCCTAGCATCAACTAGCAGTATGGGAGACTGTATGAATGCTGAGGGGGCGTCTTGATATTTTTAGCCTGAGACCTATCCCACCTAAACTATGTTCCTGAGGGAAGATTGGGAGGGGTGGAATGCTGCTTGGCTGTGTGCTGATTATAGCTGTGCACAAATGCCCTTTCGAAAATAATCCACTTTATTTGTGGGAGGAGAAAATGGAGGTGGGGGGGAAGAGAAGAAATGCTGCAGGAGTTTTTCAGAGATGGGGCTTATTAGCAGAAATTCCCTCACAGTTTGGTTCCTTTCTTTCCGAAGTTTTTTTTTTTTTTTAAAGTTTTTGGTATGTCACTGCAAACGGTAACAGCAGCTATTGTATTGGCAGCTTTGCTTTTGCTAATGTGAGGATGGTGGGGCATGGAGAGTAACCAGCCGTAGGAACAAGGTAGAACTAGTGCTATACCATAATTTGTTCTCCAATTTTCCCATGCTTTATTTTCTCTATTTCTTCTTCACTTCAGTGGCTTTCAGATAAATGAGGCTGTGTGAAGCTGTATTTTGCCTGTTCATTTGTTAATGGACGAAAGCCTTCTCAAGCCTTTCCCTGTCACAACTTTGTCCCTAAATCTAGTTACAGTTCTTGAGTTCTTTAACCTCAAACAGGAAATCTTAGGCTTGCTGCAGTTTCATCATCATGTTCGCATAGTTGCAGTGACAACGGTGCTTTACAGCATAGACTTGAGAAAAAGAATGTTGTGTTATATTTGTAAAGTATTGTACAGGATTTCATTTATGTATTCTTTAATCAGGTTTGGTCTGGTAGGGTTACATATTAATAAATAACTAAGGTCCAAAGGACATTGACTTGTTCTTGCTGCATTCCAGAGTTGAAGTATCTTGGGAATTGTTTTCATGCGGCTTTTGGTTTTGGTATACCATTCTTGATTTGCCTTTTTTGTTTTCCTGAAGCACCTATGCTGATAAGAACAGGTAATATAAACAGGTAACTTCTTTTTATCAATCACTGAGTTATCCTGCTACGGTATCAATATTGCTTAGTTGACAATACAATGGTGTGAGTCCTTTAAAGCCTCCATGAACAATTGCTGCTGCACAGACAAGGAATGCCTTTTGCACATTATAAGAACAATATACCTTAACTGACCATTGAAGCTTGAATTTTTTTAAATTTCTATAAAATGCACAGTTCTGCGACTGTGTGTGTTGTGTATGAATGTGTCCTCTTTACTAATAGTCTGATGCAGATTATTTCCCAGGAAATACCACACTCAGAATAGAAAAGTTTCTGCAGCATTAAGGTTCTGAACTTGGAAGAACACATATGTGTGACTGCACAAAGAATGCTCCAAGCTTTGCAGTCATATGTAAGCAAACTACATTTTAGAAATGAAGATATATTTATTATTATAATTATTTAAAGTATATTATTAAGAAATGGGGTTCAACAACAGCATTTAAAATGGTTCTTTTTAGGTTTCCTGCCACTCTATTAATCTCTCCAACTCAGTTTTACCTCCCCTCAACATTCAATTGAAAATCTATGTGAACTTAATGTGTTCAGCGCTGGCCTTTGCCCCCATTTCTGTTGTCCCTTCTGTTTTGAAGAGGTATAAACGCTTGTATTCAATGCTAGCTACACTGAATTTGTTAATCTCTCCACTGAGTTATATTGATTGCTTTCTTACATCCTTGGATATGTTTTTAATATAACTCTGAGGTTTTACTTATATTAAGGATACATGATGTTATTAACTGGAAAGAATGGATTGTTTTATTATGTTTTAATGGAATTTTATTACCCTGTCTGACTTTACCAAACTATAACTATATGTATCTATTTTATATTGATTTAGTTTTACTGGTCTTTGACCGTAATAAAGTATTCATTCATTCATTTCTTACATCCTTGGAGACATCTAAAAATAGTTTTTCCATGTGAACCAAAGCTGACCTATACAGACAATGGTTCTTTCTGTCATATACTGTATATTCTGTTCTGACCGTTCATTCTACTTCCTCTTCCTATTGTAGGTTTCTTCATTCACTTGGCTTTCTCTGCTGTATACGATTCTATTGTTAGGGTTATTGGGGGATTTTCCCTTGACTTTTACTGTAATTTTTTTTCCATAGAAATTCTTGAGATGTCTGTAAATTTCTTATATTGAATTTGGTGAAAACTACCTTGTAAGTAATGAGGTTTTGGCTAAATAGGTATGAGAGCATAGGAATAGTTTAAACAGTAATATATGCTTCTTTTAAAGAAAAATGTTCTCAATACAGAATATTATCAAACATGGAACCTGTTTTATCAATGATTAGAAGTGATGTATAGATTAAGAGCTTAATATGTATTGTAGTTGTATTAGCAAACGATTATAAACTGAACCCAGGTGACATCATGTTAAATAAGCATGGATGGATTTCATTAAAAAAAAAGAAAAAAAAAGAAAAATGTTCTCAAAATGGCTTATTAGGTGGAATTCAATAAAATTTTATCATAGTTTCTGTGTTTTTGTTTTGAAAACTAGAATATCATGTACCGGTATATTCTTTTCTGCACATGTCACAGTAAAAATAATATCAACAGCTCCTCACTCTTGGAAATTGTGATTGTCTTCTCTTTAGAGAAATATCATTTCTGTCTTTGAAAAATATTGTCAAGTACTGACCCACACAATGCAAAATGGCAGGGCCAAAAGAGAATGGGTCTTTCTTTCAGTTGGGCTGATGGACCAGTCTTATAGCAAACTGTTCTTCGCTTTCTTTTCTTTCAGGCGAAGGATGAAAGCTCGTGCCCCTCCTCCACCAAACCATCCTCCCAATACGTGTAAAGTTAATAATGAACACAAATTAACGACAGACATGGGGATGCTGGCTGATCAAGGTGTGATAAATATGAGGGAAAATCTGATTAACAGGACAGTGGAATTCACCGTGGTTTTTCCCAATGGAGAAGAACAGAAAGATACTGTGCATGGGAGGTAGGATTTTCAACAAATTGTTGTTTTATTCCTCTGACTGTCTATAAATATCACAATGGACAACATGGAAATATTTGAAAAGCTGTCATGTGGTGAGAGTGGAATGAGCTTATTTTCTGTAGCTCCAGAGGGCAGGACCAAAAGTAGGGATTTAAAGGAGATTTCAATTCAATTTGAAGAAGAACTTCCTTACAGTGACAACTGTTTGAAAATAGAATAGACTGCCTTATGCTCCAACATGGGAGGTGTTTAGAGGTTAACTGGATGACTGTCTGCCAGGGATTTTTGGGGCAATGTTTTATACTATTCTGTGTACAGTTCGACTTACGAACGTCCTGACTTACGATCATTTTGAGTTACGACCATCTCCACCTGCAAAATTTTGCTTCGACTTGCGGCTGGAGCTTCCACTTATGAACACAAAAAGGCAGGGGGAAAAGGTGGGAAATACAAATTATTAACTGTTGGTGGTGAAGAGGCTGCTTCTTTGTAGCTCTTTTGCCCCAACAGTTAGAGAGTGTGAGATTGGAGGACACTTGGGACTGCCTGGCTTCTGTTTCTGAGTGAGAGTGTGTTTATTTGCAGGGAGGCTTGGGACTGCCTGGTAAGGTAAGGTGCTGCTTTCTGCTTTTTAGAAACTGCATATTCTGGTTGGGTTTTGCAGGGTGGGTTTAGGCTGGTGTGTCTGTGTTATGTTTCTGTGCTGTGTTGTTGTTTTGTTTTTTGGTGATTTTTTTTTTTTTGCAGCCCCAATGCCTTCCGCTGGGGCTTGCTCCATGGTTTATTTTTGGTTTTCTTTTTTTAAGCCCCAGGGACTTTGGGGCTTGCTCTGTGATTTATTTTTTTAAAGCCCTAATGCCTTCCAATGGGGCTTGCTCCGTGGTTTGTTTTTATTTTTAAAGCCCCAGCGCCTTCCGGGCTTGCTCCCTGGTTTATTTTTGGGTTGTTGCTTTTTTGCAGCCCCACTGCGTTCCTATGGGGCTTGCAGTGTTTTTTTTAATTTTATTTTTGAGGGGTATTTTTCCACCTTCTGGAATGGATTAATCGCGTTCCAATGCACTTCAATTGGAAATGGTGCTTCGACTTCCAACCATTTCAAGTTACGTCCCTCTTCTGGAACGGATTGTGGTCGTAAGTTGAGGCACCACTGTAATACAAACTTTTCTACACTGTGACTGTTTAACCCTGCTGAGATACCACTATTTCATTCACATTTATAAGCAAAACATTCAAAATGGATGTTATATTAATTCTGTATTAACATCCTTCCGTGTCCAGAATTCTTCCGCACCAGCGCCAATTGGCAAACAGAACAGAGCAGAGGCCATTTTCCAGTTCTTTGTTTTCTTTTGGATGTACTTCCTTGAGGTACCTTAGTTTCCGAACCAAAGGTATAGGTAGAGTGTATGGCTTGAGCTCAACAGCTTCATAACATTCCCTGACAGTTGGAGGAAGGAAAACCTATGGCCAGTAAGCCAATTATTTGAACTGAGAAAGCAATATGGAGCTTATATTGTCTGTTTTGGAGCCACATCTGAAATATTTATTTATTTATTTATTTATTTATTTATTTATTTATTTATTTATTTATTTAGTTAGTTAGTTAGTTAGTTAGTTAGTTAGTTAGTTAGTTAGTTAGTTAGTTAGTTAGTTAGTTAGTTAGTTAGTTAGTTAGTTAGTTAGTTAGTTAGTTAGTTAGTTAGTTAGTTAGTTAGTTAGTTAGTTAGTTAGTTAGTTAGTTAGTTAGTTAGTTAGTTAGTTAGTTAGTTAGTTAGTTAGTTTAATTTTTAAGGCCACCTTTCTCCCTATGAGGGGACTCAAGATAGCTCGTAGTGTTAAAAAAATAAAAAATACAATTAATTATATATTTTGAAAAAGCATCATCCAGGGACTCAGTTATGGTTATTAGAAGTCTGCTTGAAGATGTGGGTCTTCAACTGTCAGTGGACAGATAAAAAAGGAAGGGTGCCAACTTATCCTCTTAAAGGAGTAACCTTCTACATACACCACTGACTGATTAAAGAGAAGGGTACCTTATGAATTCTGTTTTTCTACTCCTGAAGTCCTGCACCAACCAACACTACTGAAGTCTTGAAACAAATGCCAGCAGGGCTGAAAATACACGAGACATGGCTCTCTTACCAAGGAAAGGAGAGATGTCTGGACAGTATGGAAGATTCTCCGGGGGCACTGGGGGGTGGGCAATCAGGCTGAGGTTGGCATAGACATCCCCTGCCAGTGAGGCATTGTGTAGGCTGGCCAGCATTGTCAATGTGCTCCCTTTGTAGAAAATGCCTAGGAAATAGGCAACACGCTTCCGGTAGCCCTCGCAGTACAGCAGTGCCATCACCACCAGCTGCACTCCCAGGAAGAGCAGCAGGTAGCGGCCACGCACCTGCAGCATGGCGGGGGCAAGGCCAAGATCATCTATCCATGGTGCTGCTGCCTGAAAAGGTGGCAACAAGGGAAGGAGGAAACAGTGACCTATTGGGAACAGAAGAGATTAGAAATACATCTGTAATGCTTAGTTGCTCACATTAATTGGTTAAAAGAAAGAGATGTATTTTGATCAATCCAAAGAAGCTCCATAAGTAGTCACTCTACTTTTAAAAACTATATATTTAAAACAAGCATTTATAAAAACAGAATAATAATTTTTAAAAAATGGACGTGGGCTGCATAGGGTCTCTTGAAGTGCACATGCCATTTGGATACAATGATCACGCCAAGTGGCATAATGAGCTGTAATCAACCTTAAGCACTCCTCTTATTATCCTGTTCTGGCCCACTCCAATTGAGTTCTGTAGACAAGTCCTCAGTTAAGTCCAGCTTGCAATTAACAAATGAATATCCTCATATGATAATGAAGCAGTTACAGATATAGTTAAAATGAAGAAGCTGGTGTGGGCATGCCATTCCCATCATATGATGTCATGCCCAGCTCCTGACATGCCCATTATGAGAGTGTCTATAAGAGATAAAACAAAGAAAAGAGTACAGCAATTTAGATGTATGTTACTAATGGGGTCACTCTTGCTTACAACTGATAATAAGAACTCTGTGCTGTCAAGTCTTACTTATGGCAACTCTTTCCAGGGATTTCTAGGTAAAGAATACACAGGAATGGTTTACCATTCCTTTCTTCTGGAGATGCCCTGTGACTGTTCAGCTTGCCCATGACTACATAGGCTGGCTCTTCTCTCTGGAGGCACAGTGGGGAATCGAACTCCCAACCATTGACGCCACAGCAAGATACCTAACCACTGAGCTATCCAGCCAGTTGTTAGCAAATATGCTCTCTCTGGTCAAAGCAAACATTTAGTTCTAGCCAGACTCAATAACCTCTCCTCTTTCATCGTGGCTAATATAAAAATATACATTAAAAATATTAAAAAGCACAGAGAAAATATAGCATCCCATGAAATCATGAAGCCCAAGAGGTAAAACGATTGTCTACAGAATCAACTACTAGGATGTGTCCTCCAGGAACAAGTAGAATCACATTCAGTGACTCCCAATTCCTAAAAGGCAACTCCAAAGGATACTGTGATTGGCTGTCCTGAATGCTTTTGATAGGTATAAGACAATTCCAGGATGTCATAATTCTTCTTGTTGTTGGGCAGTTTTAACTAAAACGTGTTCTAATTAAACTGTTTTTGAATTCCTTTTTTTCCTTACAGTAAAGCTGTGATGGACTTGTTAGTTGACCTCTGCAGCCGTCATCACTTAAATCCAGCCCACCACACACTTGACCTGCTGTCCTGGGAGACCCAACAGCCTTTGAGTTATAAGCCAAATACTTTGATAGGGGTACTGGATGTACAAAAGATACATCTGAAGGAGAAGGTTCCTGAAGGAAAAACCAAGCGCCCACCACCAAAGATTCCAGAGGTCAGAATATTCTGTCATGCTGTTTCTTAAGAGTCACTGGTGGTGATAGTCCTTTTCTATGGTTAAAATCATGTTGTGCAACTTTATAGCATGCAATGAGGACAATTTAATCAGCCGTTGCTGTCCCACAGCCATTTTGGGAAAGTAAAAAGCTTCCTAGAGGACACTTTACCCCAGGTTTCAGGGATTTCTAGGGATCCTCTTATTTTATTTTATTTTATTGGATTTCTACCCCACCCATCTAGATCAAAGGTCTACTCTGGGTGACATTACAAATTTAAAAACAAGTTAAACCAATAAACATGCACTATAAACCCAAGATGGTAAAATGTGAATTTAAGATACAGCAGGAGGGAAAGCCTGCCCAAATAGCCAGGTCTTGACTTTGCTTCTGAAGATACCAAGAGAGAGAGCCAGGCGGATCTCCATGAGCAAGTTGTTCCAGAGACGAAGGGCCACTGCCGAGAAGGCCTGGTTCCTCATTCTTTCCCTCTGGATTGTCCTCGGCATTAGGCCCCACAGCTGCCTGACCTGGCTAGAATGAGTGACTCTGGCAGAACTGGGTGAGAGGAGGTGCTCTGCCAGATATCGAGGTCCTAAACCGTTTAGGGCTTTGTATGTCAACGTTGTACAGTATATTGTTCCCTGGCTTATTTAACTTATATGCAGAATACATCATGTGAAAGGCCGGAATGGAGGAATCCCAAACTGGAATTAAGATTGCCGGAAGAAATATCAACAACCTCCGATACGCAGATGATACCACTCTGATGGCAGAAAATGAGGAGGAATTAAAGAATCTTGTAACGAGGGTGAAGGAGGAGAATTCAAAAAATCGTCTGAAGCTCAACGTCAAAAAACCTAAGCTCATGGCCACTGGTCCCATCATCTCCTTGCAAATAGAAGGGGCAGATATGGAAGCAGTGACAGATTTTACTTTCTAGGGCTCCATGATCACTGCAGATGGTGACAGCAGCCATCTGCTTCTTAGGAGGAAAGCGATGACAAACCTTGACAGCATCTTTAAAAGCAGAGACATCACCTTGCCAACAAAAGTACGCATAGTCAAAGCTATGGTTTTTCCTGTAGTGATGTATGGAAGTGAGAGCTGAACCATAAAGAAAGCTGAATGCCGAAGAATTGATGCTTTTGAATTGTGGTGCTGGAGGAGGCTTTTGAGAGTCCCCTGGAGTGCAAGGAGAACAAACCTATCCATTCTAAAGGAAATCAACCCTGAGTGCTCATTGGAAGGACAGATCCTGAAGCTGAGGCTCCCATACTTTGGCCATGCTGGGAAAGTGTAACAGCAAGAGGAGAAAGGGGACGACAGAGGATGAGATGGTTGGACAGTGTCACCGAAGCTACCAACATGAATTGACCCAAGTCCGTGAGGCAGTGAAAGACAGGAGGGCCTGGCGTGCTGTGGTCCATGGGGTCACGAAGAATTGGACTCTCTGGTCCATGGGGTCACGAAGAATTGGACTTGACTAAATGACTAAACAACAAAACAACATGTCATCATTAGGACTTTGAAACCAACCCAGAAATGAATGGTCAGCCAATGCAAGGCGGCCAGCGTGGGGAAAATATGTTGGTACATATTTCCCCCCTTATAAGAAGTCTGGCTGCTGTATTTTGCACCATCTGGAGGTTCCGTGTCGGTCTCAAAGGCAGCCCTACATAGAGCGCATTACAGTACAGTCAACCCTCGACGTACGAACATCCCTACATACGAACTTTTCGATTTACGAATGGCTCCGTTCGCAAAAATTACCTTCAACATGTGAATGGAGCCTCGACCTACAGATGAGGTCGAAGCTCTGTTCGCAAGTCAATACCATTTTTTGCGAACGGAGCCTTTTGTCGCCTTCGGAGCTCTCAAAGGGCTTCCTCCGATGTCAGGGGGAAAACCCTTTGAGACCTCAAGATAATTTTTTGAAATACTGGAATGAATTAATTCTGTTCTCATGTATTTCAATGGAAAATGGTACTTTGACTTATGAACGTTTCAATGTACGAATGCCGTTCCAAAATGGATTAAGTTCGTAAGTCGAGGTACCACTGTAGTCTAATCTTGAGACTACGGGTGCATGGACCCAAGTGGTGAGCATCCCCACATCAATATAGGGATGCAGCTGGGCAATCCGCAGGAGATGGAAGTGTGCGGAACGGACTACTGATGCCACCTGGGTTTCCATGGTGAGCACCGGGTCCAGATGTACATCCAAACCGCAAACTTCATTCTTGGTGGTAAGAGTTACCTCCCCAAAAGAGAGGGAGTTTCCCAAACCACTGATGTCTGGGGCACCCACCCCTTCATCCGAGGGCAGCTTTCAGGAACCTTAGAATGGGAAAATTGCCACCACTGGTGTCAGCATTGGGACCATGATCAAGAGCAGCAGTTTTCTACTTTAAATCATTTCCCTTCTCATTCCACAGATCCAGAAGGCTGCCCCAGGAAGAAGGCATTCCTAAGGATCCCCAAAGCTTGGTGGAGCCTCTAGGAGTCATTTTATTGCCCTGAAATGGCCACAGCTGACGCCATCATTTTTTCATGGCACAGTTTTGCCAACAGGATTTCAGCCTATATGTATTGTCTTGAATTATTATGACATCAGAAGTGTTTGGCTCAATGTCTTCCATTTTAGTGTTACCATTAGTGCTTAACAAACATGCTAGTATGGTCTTGTGGAGGTGATCAGTGTGTGCAATTTAATATGAACCTGCATAGCATGCAATCTGGCTGTTTGTTTCAATGCTTGACATCAATGTTTGCTTCTTGGTTCATGATTATGTTATAATACATTGTTTTTAGAGCTGACAGTTTTTCAGTATTATGTGTGTGTGTGTGTTCATGTACGTGTGTGTGTGGTAAATCACAACTAGAATTAGGCCCATTGAATCAGTGGGTTTTCAGTGAGGCAACTTCAGTGGACCTCTTTTAATTGTAACTTACTACTGGATTTTAGCCATTACATAAGTGAACTAGATGATATTTCTAAAAAGAACTGTAGTACTGTAATAAGTCCTGCTCCTTCACTGTAGCACTGTTTAGCATATACTTTTGGCTCAGTGGATGAGACATTTCTTGATATTTCTTTAAACCAGTTGTCCAGGATGTATAAGCTGTTTTAACTTTATGGTTTTAAGTCTTCTTATATGGTACTACAGCTCACAGGGGCTTTCTTCAATTTCATTTTGCTTTCCCAGAAAACTGTGAGGCTGGTCGTAAATTACTTAAAGACACAAAAGACAGTGGTTCGAGTGAGTCCTGAGGTGCCCCTCCAAAGTATAATTCCAGCCATTTGTGAAAAATGTGAGGTCAATCAGGAATATCTTGTCCTCTTGAGAGATACATTTACTGGGGAGGAGCTGGAACTTACGAAGTCATTGAATGAACTGGGGATAAAGGAGCTCTACGCATGGGACAGGAAAAGAGGTAGGTCAAGACATATGCAAACATAGCATGAGGCAACTGTATATTTGTACGTTGGTGAGAGATGTACATAGTCATGGGGAAGGGCATTTTAAAAAAAGAAGTGCACTTTTAAGGGCATGGATTGTATAGGCTGCTTTTTCTCCAAAGTGCTGGTTTGCAGTGCACAAAAACTAGCCATTGCTAGCTTAGGACTGCCAGTAACTCCAAGGTTTGAGAGCATTGAACAAAATATTTGTCCACTGGCAGTTTCATTTACTGGTGTCTCCTAATTCAATGGATGCTACTTTGTGTTGTGCTGCACAGTACATAGAGGAGACATGAAGAATCTCTGACTGTTCTGTATTGCTTTTTGCATTCATGCAGATGACAATAATACATTTGAAATTATCTTGACTGAAAATTATAGGAACTGTGTTGTGAGATGATTGGGAAATGAAACATTTGTTCAGAGAAAGTTCATTTCCCTTTAAATCCCACAAGCAGTGAACGGTAAGATTGCTACCAGAAGTGGGAGGGGGCAATGAGGGGGGATTTCTTTGCTTTTTGTCTTAAAGAACTGATTGATAAAAGCAAGCAAAAATTCCCCTCTTGCCGCCCTTGCTGCTCCACTTGTACCACACAGGCTCACATGCAGGCAGATAGGCATGCATGCGCACACATGAACGCACACACACACAGAGGCACCCATGTGTACAGGAGGACTAGGCTTCCCAAAGACAACCTCTCTGCACTGGCTTTGGAAATTAAACACTTTCATAGAACCAAGGAGTTGTTCAATTTGCTCGCTGTTTTCTTATTAAGCCGTTTCACATAATTGGTGAGTTCGAACCCAAAAGCTTCATTTGGATCCCTTCCAGCAATCACACATGCTGGAACCGAGCCAAACCAAAGTGATCCTATCCATATATATAAAAAAAGTAGAAGCCCCTGACAGGGGCACAGAAAGCTATCGATAGGACTTCTCTGGAGTGGGCTAAAAAGGGAAAGGTTCCCCTTAACATTGTTAGTCCAGTCGTGTCCGATTCTAAGGGGCGGTGCTCATCCCGTTTTCAAGCTGCAGAGCCAGCGCTTGTCCGAAGACAGTTTCCGTTGTCATGTGGCCAGTGTGACTAGGGAACAACGTTTTACCTTCCCACCGAGGTGGTATCTTTTATCTACTCGCATTTGCATGCTTTCGAACTGCTAGGTTGGCGAGGAGCTGGGACAAAGCAACGGGAGCTCACTCCGTCAGGTGGATTTGATCTTACGACTGCTTGGTCTTCTGACCCTGCAGCACACAGGCTTCTGCAGTTTAGCCCGCAGCACCACCATGTCCCACTCTGGGGTGGGCTAGTTCACTCTAAAAAAAGTACATTAGCTGAAAGCTATTTTAAGAGAGAACCAGCCCATTCTTGCAGCAGACCAAACAGTGGGCTAAACACCTGTGTAGTCAGCCTCTCAGTCTGCTAAGGAGCTGCTTATCTGCCTTTGAGGTGAGAATATTGGAAGTGCTGAAGGCATCACAAATTAATGCCCATCTAGGAGAAGGAAAACTCTGATTTCAAACCTCCGCTGCCTTGTGGCTATATCCACTGATGGAAAAGGCTTCAGAAGTTAACCTTGAGGCAAAATCTGGAGCTGGAGTCCTGGAGGCATTTCATGTTGTTCTGTCAATTCCTGCGACATTGCTGGAACCAGTTGTATTGGCTCTTGCCTTTCCATTGGACTATTTCAGCAATGTGGAGAGGGGGGATTTGCTGCTTGGGTAACAGACTAACCTCCATATTATTTTACCCAGGCTTAATGCTCTGGAGAGGACACTTTAGCTTCGCATACAGTGTTGAAGCAAAACCAGGGAGCTGGACAGGGGACAGATTGTATTTGTCTTCAGTGTGGAAGGGATTGTCACTCTCGAATTGGCCTTCTCATTCACACTAGATGCTGTTCCACGTCCTCCATACAAAGCATGTTACCATAGTCTCTCGAGACTGAAAGATGCCTACACAAAGGCGCCACAGTAATGGCAAATCTTAGAATTTGAAAGAGCAACCACAGATAAACATCTTTGCTTCTGAGGAACAACTCACATGCTATTCTGCCTCTTTGAAACAAAAAGTAGGATAAACTTGTTTACTCTTTCTGCAGAGAAGAATCTTTATTCTTGAAACTACCTATTTCCTTTATTTTACTGTCATGGATGCAGCCTTTTCTTCAGAATCTGAAGATAACAGCTAATGAAGTGGACTTGTCCACAAAAGTTCAAATAAAAATATATAGCAATCTCTAAGATGCTACCACATTATAGTTCCCTTTAGACTTATTCTTTACTGTACTTTTATTTTGCTTTTTCCTATAAAGCTGATTTTAGGTTGCATGTATAAATTCATTCAAGGCCTCTTCCAGATAAAAGCTCTCCACTTTTTTGTAGTCAGTCCTAACTGTGTAAGCAGAAAGTGGTGCTTATATACCGCCCCATAGCTCAGGTTGTGGGCAGAATCTTGGCACTGGCTTTGGAAGTTTAACCACTGGCCCACAAGGCAGTGTGGTGTTGGATTCATAATCATATTGCACTTTAAAAAAATAACTTCTCTGGGGAAAAAAAGCCTTGTAATATTTTCAAAACCCTTCAACAATAATTTAAAAAAACCTAACTCCCCTCCCATTAGGTTGAAACCTGATTAAAAGCTTCTGACCAGGAACTCTGACAAAGCAGAGTCCACGTCCGATATAGTGGTTGTTCTCCAAAGAGCACCTTGAATTTTTGTTTTAAATGTGGGGGGAAACATTTTCCTACTGTAGCTTCTGCTCAGAAATTTGTTTGCACTCTGAGAAATGTAATTAAAACTTCCAAATGGGAAATTGCCATAGTGCTAAACTCTGTGCTGTAAGAAACTGGAGACAGAAAAGAAGAGGCAAAAAAAGCTTGGAAAGTTTTTTTGTTTTGTTTTGTTATTCCTTGTCATTATTTATATCAAGACAAGTCTTGAATTATCTGTATGTAAAAAAACCTCTGATCTCATCAGTATGAATCAGTTCTCCAGCTGGAATACAACTGAATTAATATACAAAAGGATTTTCTGACTTTTTTTCATTTGTCAGAGTTAATAAAAATTATGTTTTTCTTTGTAGATTTCCTAGTAAAATTTAATATATTGCATCACTTCAATGTTGAACAACTAGGCAGATGTATATTTTACTTATATTGTATTTTGCTTTTGTTTTGCTTCTTCCTTCAACCCCCTCTGCCAAAGATCTTTTTTAACTAAAAGAATCTTTCTGGAATTTTAAAAATCCAGGGAAATCCAGTTTCTTAAGGTTGTAATCTTTTCATACTTCCATGTGAATACGCTCTGTTGTCCTCTGAAGATGCCGGCCACAGAGACTGGCGAAATGTTAGGAAGAAAAATTTAAAAAGAATATTAAGGAACCCACAACAACCATTTTCTTTCTTTCTTTCTTTCTTTCTTTCTTTCTTTCTTTCTTTCTTTCTTTCTTTCTTTCTTTCTTTCTTTCTTTCTTTCTTTCTTTCTTTCTTTCTTTCTTTCTTCATAGCAAAGCATTTTGTACATTAAAATTATGGATGCATATTAAATATAGGTAACAATTTAAAAAGAATATTAAGGTGGACTATTTTTGACCAGAAGCAGGTGACTTCAATAGTGTTACCTCAGCCATTTTCTAGTTCTAATTCTGTGGTGGGGCATAAATTGCATTTACAGAAGTGCTGCATTGACTGAATTTCTCAATGGTCACAGAAAATTTGTCCTTCATCCAAGTAACCCCACTTTCCTTGATTACTATTTGATCTTCGTACTTCACTTCGAAGTTGATTTAGTGACTTCCAGATGGTCCAGCTAAAGTTTGTCCTGATGGGAGATGCTCTTCAGCATTCATCCATTCGGCTGGGTGTGTTGTTTTCGATCTCCATAGAATTATTCTAGCCTCTTGTTCAATATTTAGAGCTTGAACTATGTGGAAAAAAGTCACTTCCTCAATTTTAGCTGCCATTTAGGGGGTAGGTGTTCATAAAGTGGATGGGTTTGGTAATATACTACCTTATTTCATTCATTATTTGCTTGTATCTAACAATGTATGTCTGGCAGGGCAATGTCAGCCAAATAATGGACTTTTTCAATTGGGTGTAGGTTTCAGGCAAACATTAATTATCCTGCATGATTCATTAAGAGTTACATCCATTGTATGACTTGTGCTAATTTAAGTCTGGATAATTGTGCAAATAGTTGCATTGAAAGTAAGACAGAGTTGTGTGATTTCTTTTCCTTTGGGAATCTAGTGAATTTTATTTTTTCACAAATCAACCATGAAAAACATTTCACAGTTATCCAGTTCATAAGTGCGATTTTTTCATGTAATACTATAGTGAACAGATTTTCTTGAATGAGCCTGTACAATATATATATTTATATGTATCCATATTGTGAAAAATATCTTGATAAGATGTTTATATATATATTTACACGCTTTACTACAATATTAAATTTAACCTCTTGTTCACTTAAAGTGAACAAGTTCCAAGAATTATCAGCACACACACATATATAAATGAAGCAGACTACAGCAATTTGACAAGAAAAATGGATGTGCTGATAATTCTTGGAACTCTAACCTTTATGACCAGGCTACATACATATTGAGTTGTTGTGATTCTATTTTAACTTTCAAAAGTTTTGCCAGGATCAGTGTTTTCTTTTCTAAAGATGACACTGGCAAAAATCACACTGTATTAAATTTAAAAGATTCCTGCTGGCCTTTGGGAACAACATATAGTTTCAGATCCAGGTTTACTTGTTAAAGTATACAGTACTCAATTTGAAAAATACAATCCTCTTTGCCACTGATACTGTATTAAAAACACATAAAAGGTCTTATACTTATTTGCATAAGCACCCCTTTCTTCAAAATTCCTTTCAGACTTGAGCAGTGAAGTATACTCAGCTTTGCTGGGTTAACATTCTGAAAATGGTAGCTGTGGCTCTGAGCACATTGATATATTAATGATAGCAAATATTCAGGGGTAATGTGTTACATCTTTTAATATTATTCCTTTTCTGTCCTTTTCATTTCCTGACTTTACAGTTCTTCCATCAAAAGCTCAGTCTGAACCTTCTCTGAACTACAGAGGTACTGTCAAATAAAAAATGGAAAGAGGAATTCTCTCTCTCTCTCTCTCGCTCTTTTGTTCTGCATGGCTTTGATTACTAACACATTTAACATGTAGGCTTTTACTGGCATTATAGTATATTACTGCAAATAACACAAAACCAATTATTCTAGTTGCACTCATTTTTAGCAACCATGAATGGCAAGTATTTAATATTTGTAATCTGAAACATGTATAGCATCTAACATGTTTACAAACTCACATGCTGCCTGGAAAGTGTGCCTGGAAGGGATCTTTCTGGGATGGGTGACTATCAATCTACCCTGCAGTAACCAATCATTCCTTCCCTTCCCCTGAATGCAAAGAGACTCCCACCTCTCTGCTCTGCTCTTTTTCCCCTCTCTTTTGTCTGTTGGAGTGAGTCAATCTGTTGAAATCTGTTGCTGAATGCAGTTGTGTTTATCAGCTTGCTGATCTATTCAGTTGAAAATAATGAAACCTTTTATTGTTTTTACAAATGTCTCTGAGTGAGTTATTAAGACTATGACTGTGAGTTAATGAGGAAAGGGTAGACAAATCTGGGGAACTTGAAGCTATTCTGCTCTGTGAATCCCTGTACTTCTGCTGTACAGCTAGAGAAATTTAACCAAAATTCAAAATTGGCAACAGGTTATAAGCCTGGAAACCAATGTCTAAAGAGACAAACAGATAGCCAACAGGTATGTTTTTGGGCGTTGTTGTTTTTCAAAGTGCTTGTGATTCTTCACTCCACCCCAGTTTTAACCAAAAACACCTCATATGTTATGAGAAAGAGGGATTGTTTCTTTCCTGAGATTGCTAACCACAGTTGCTCAGGAAAAGAAAAAAAATGGTTTTCCCCTCCAGATATTCCATAGTTAAAATCTCTGAATTTCTATTAGTGGAAATAGAGGCTGCAGTTAAACCTCAGAGCTTTGAAGGTGCTGTTGGTGTAGGTCCAATTCCAAAGGCTTGATATGGTGTTTGCCTCTCCAAAAACTTGGGCTCAGATTTGGATAATGAAGCTTCCAAGAGCACTCTGTTAGGGAAAAACAAACCTTGGAGCCCAAGATAAAAAGTTAGAGTCTCTTATCTGGTAGCTTCAAATCCTCCCCTTAATAAGCAGAGTAAAGACGCGGACGTATGAGAAAATGCACGGAGAGAGTTCTAATAATACTTATAGCATAATATATTAGATTTGGTCAGACATATATGCATGGCAATATATACATTGGCATAGATATCTCAGAGCAACATAACATTCACATCCAAGTAAAGTAATGACCACCAGACTCACAACTGAGTGGTGAAGTGCTGTTTTCACTCACTTGCCTAAATAGTGAGAGCAACCTATCACTGCAGACATCACAGCTGAACATGTTTAATAAGCATTACCTAAGTTTGTCCCATCTGTATGCTATCAGTCATCCACTGACTTGACATTACAGGAATTATTTTTCATGCTTTACTACAATATTAAATTTAACCTCTTGTTCACTTAAAGGAACAAATCCTGACAGGTGCATGATTATTTAGAAAGACAAAACCCAAAAGCAGCACAGGCCAGGACTGAATGGGAAGATGAGGATTCCATAGGAAAAGCAATAATTTCACAAATCCTCTCAGATAACATATGATTTATATTAAAGACTGTGAAACTACCAAAGAGATGCTAGAAGCACTTGAGAGATCTTGTGTTTTTTTCCAGCTCTAAATCAGGAGCAGTTTTTATCAGGGAATTTGTACAGTTCTATCTCAACAACAAATTGTGAAAACACATTTCTGCTCTATTAACAGTGTTTGACAATTTCAGCTTAACTGGCTTTGAATTGAGTGACAGACAGAAAATGGGATTTTTCACAGCATTGCTTGATGAATGTTGTGATCCTTTCGTTTCCATGTTGTGTGGCAAACAGCTAAGTTTCTAAGAGTGTTTGCATTATCTGAGAGAAGACTGCATAGATCAAAAAAGCTTCTATGAGACCTCAACTAAAAGTGGCTCAGATTTCATGCTGAATGGGAAAGGCAATTGAAGAGGCATGCTTCACAGCCAACCACACAGCTGCTGGAGCTGGAAGATGACAGGTCACATGGCAAAGGGTTGCCCATCCCCAACAGATTCTTCAGCTAATAGAAGCTGAACTAATTTTAAATCAAAAGAACAAAGAGATTGCAGAAAATATATAGAGCCTGCCTCTAATAGAGAGACAAAAAGAAAGGTTGGAAAGGAATTCAAACAGAAGGCATGCACGACCCATAATTGTGAACAGAAATCAAATTACTGGATCATTGACTCAGGGTGCACCAATTGTTGCACAAATAATGGAGAAACATAGAATAATTGAGTTGGAAGGGGCCTGTAAAGTCATCGAGTCCAACTCCCTGCTCAATCCAGGAATCTAACTCAAAGGAGATCTGACAGATGGTTGTCCAATTATCTCTTGAATGCCTCAAGCCCCGAACAGCTCATCGCTTCTTGAGGTAACACGGGTCTACCATCAAAATGCTTCTGAAATAAATGTAGTCAAACTACTAATTCTGGGTAACTGAGAATGAAAATGATGCTTAAAATTGTTGATTGGCTCTAGTTTTCAAGATATGCTATTAAGTATATATGATCCATGACTTTGAAATGAATTGTAATAAGTTATAAAGGGAAGGGATCTCAATTTAAATGAATAATGACTAAAATACATCTTTGACTAGATCTATGAATAAACCTTTGACTGAGTTTGGGCAGTACTTGCTTTCCGGGCAAAACAATGCATGATGCAATTCGAAACTGGTATTGTGTCATACATGATATAAATTGCACCATGTTATTCCTAGAAGTCATGGATGATGCAGGCATAACAAAGTTTACATAATTCTGCTGAACAAATTGCCCTAGAAATCACATTGTGTTATGCATTCTTATTTGTTAGTGTTTGATTTTGCAAAGGGACACATTTCTGTTTAGCCAAAGTGAACAGAGATGCCTCATACTTGGGTGAACAGTGCAGATAACTTCTTCTGTGTTTGTGATGCAAAAGTGCAGTATAACCATTATGGTTAAGAAAGCCTATCACTTTTATTTGGCTGCAAAAGTGGAGATCAGGACAAGATGCGGGCCCCACACATATGCTGTCACACTTGAGCAACAACGTATTGAACAAGAAAAAGAAAACTACGTCTTTTGCAGTGCCAATAACTTGGAGAGGGTCAACAGATCATTCGAGTGATTGTTACTTCTGGTTGGTGCCTCCAGTTGGGAAAGGTGTGTCAGAAGAAAAAGTAGACTGTGCATTATCCAAACATCCCATCAGCTATACACCTAGTACCCCCTGGAGAAGGACTGCCAGTCTTGATGCCCCAGAATCATTCTCACCTGAGTCAGATGAGAAAGAGGAAGAAGATGAAACTTCTGGTTCTGAACCATTGATGTCATAGGACCCACATTTTCTCCCATCCTCCTCCTCTTAACCATACCTCATAACACAAGGTAAGCTGAATGACCTCTCAGGGATTTGCAACTTCTCAAAAGTAAGATAGAGCTGTTGGGCTCCAAACTGCAGCAGGTGATGTCATACATATGAAGGAAATGTATGACAACACGAAACAACTTTTGAGGTGCATAAGCTACTGTAGGACCCACATCAATGGCAGCTTTGTGGCAATTTGAAGGTTGTTGCTCTCTTGCTTTTGGTCTGCAGACTGGATACACAAGTATTGCTATTTTCTCTGTGAATGGGATAGTTGTGCAACAGATTCCCATTACATCAAGATAGGCTTGCCATGCTGACAGTCTTTGGAACCTGGGATTAAAAGTGTTGAGCATCCACCGCTTGTTGAATTTGTTACCACTCTTATACATCAAGCTGGGTCTGATGAAGAGCTTTGTCACAGTCATGGACAAAACACAAGCAGCTTTCAAGTACCTCCAGGGAAAATTTCCAAGGTTAAATGAAGCTAAGATGAATGAAGATGTCTGTCCTCAGATTCGTGAACTTATTCAAGAGGATGCATTTGACCATGCATGTTGTGGCAAGAAAAATACAGCATGGAAAGCCTCCCAGTTAGTGGCAGTAAATTTTCTCTGGAACAACAAGGCAGACAACTACAGGTTGAAAGCCCTTGGTTGCAACATGTCACTAAAGATTTTTTTTGCACGCTCATCTCAATTTTTTCCACCAAACTGCGGAGCAGTGAGTGGCAACCACAGTGAGCAATTTCACCAGGACATTGCAACAATGGAGAAATGCTATCAGGGCAAATGGAGTCTGGCCATGAATGCTTGCAGACTATTGCTGGACAGTGACAAGAGATGCTCCATTTAATGAATACAAGATACAAGTAAATGAAGCTAAGATGAATGAAGATGTCTTTGTCCTCAGATTCGTGAACTTATTCAAGAAGATGCATTTGTATTGCTGGACAGTGACAAGAGATGCTCCATTTAATGAATACAAGATACAAGCCAAGAAGCACCAAGTAGACACTGCATAGGACTAAACTATGCACATAATAGGTTTTTGCCTTTTGTTTCATAATAGATTTTATTTATATAACCCTTTACTGATTTTTAAAGTGTTACATAAACAGGAAAGGTGAAATATTATGTAAAGCAACCATAAACACATGAAAAGACTTAGGTTTACAATTTATGATTAAAATTCTATTATCTACACAGTATACATAAACATAAAGTTAAATATGTTGAAAATAAAAAATAGTAGCCCATCAGTTGTTTTAGTTGTCCTATTTGAATTCAACACATCTAAATGCATAATAAACAGCATATTTTATCTCTGAAACAGATGACTTAAAAAAAATTGTAGACCAGTGTAATTGGTTTCATTGTTATACTGCTCTAATAGTTAAGGGGTTTCTCCTGATATTCAGCCTAAATCTGTCTTCTTGCATTTTGAGCCCATTATTATGTGTCTTGCACTCTGGAATATTTGAGAACAGATCCTGCTCTGTATGACTATCAAGTTCTATCCTATCTCCCCTCAGTCTTCTT